TGTGCCGTTTCTTATGCGAGGAGTTGGGGCTTCACAGAAGCAGTCCGTGTTCAGCACAAAGTCGGAGCAGGCGTACTCCGTTGTCGGTCCGGTTGGCTGGGATTGCATATGAACCACCAAGTAGCTTTTCTGATTCGTCCGGGGATCCCACTTGAGCACTGAAGTCTCCAGCGAGTACCACGATGTCCGTTGNATCGAAAGCTTTTGCATAATTAATGAAGATTGCATGAGGAATCAAGCCGTCATCAGGGGCTTGTGTTAGACCGTCCATGACAGATAGCTTACTGGAGATGCAGATGTTTTTTGAGAGGATATAAATTAATACTAGGGGGCAAAGGTACAAGCGGAAGAAAGTGTGCACGAGACTAACAGTGCGTTCAAAATTCTCTAGCAACAGGGTAGTCAACTCATGGAATAATTTCCACAGGAGCTGGTGGAAGTAAGGAGCGTACACGCTTTCAAGACGGAGCTCGATAAACGCTATTTGAACGTATTTTCCGAAGTAGACGCATAGGTTAAGGTCTAGGAACAGTGGTGGTTTTTTCAGTTACTAACTATGCCAATAGGTGAGGTCTCTCGTCTAAACAATAGAAGGAGTCTTGCAGTTTTGAAGTCTTGAATTGATTCACGGGTTTGATGCTATTGCCCAAATGTTCCGGGTCCTTAAAAGGTAGCTGCTTTCTTTTCGTTCGAAGGTTTTTTAGAACAGAGAGTACTGAAAAAGGCATCATGAGATTCCCCGCTCGAAAATTCCCCTCGAGAAGTAAAATGAACATTTGCGAACACTCGTATAAATCAATTTTTATTTCAAAAGTTTTTTATTAAGTATGAGTAGGTAAACTTATGTAACGGTCAAGATGAAGTTTGGAGACCCCCTTGCTGGGAGCGCAGACTATCGCCTCAGGAAGTGCATGCACTAAGGATATCACCATAAGGGTAAAAAAAATGAGGCACACAGAGCGGTTCTATGACTGGGTTTGACAATGTTTTGCTATGATCTCGGGTAGGGTTAGAGTCAGCAATGATAAAGAAGGTTTCGAGAGTACCCATGTCGAAGAGAGGGTAGAGGAGAAATAGATTTCCCCGAATGCGCCTGATTTCTAACGGGTAGAGGCCCAGTTATTGAAGTTGCGTTGGGTCGGTGATATAATTCTTTCATGTAATAACCACCCGAACACGTGGTTGCCCACAAATGTGATGTCTCTCGTCTGAACAAGGAGGGAAGATATTCCTTTTAACCTTCCTCTTCCCTTGTGTAGGCGGAAACGACTGGGACGAGAAAAAATGTGTAGTACTGCAAAATAGAGCATTTTGAGATAGCTAACACTATCTACGATAACCAAACACAATTTACCTCAACGATCGAGTATGACA